TCGACGCAGCCTACCTGCATTAGGCATTATCTTCACCCACTTACGTAATGCCCTTCGGAAATGGGCAAATCAGGTGCACGCACTTCCAAGTTGCAGTCGGTCGCTGCTGGTATCGACGCGCGAAGGCGGTGGAGACACACCAATCATTTGAATATTTTAATTGGAAGCGTACAGGTATCATCCATGAATTCTTAATAAGCCAGGTGTTAAAATATTTGAACATGCTGAAATGGAGGAAGGCCACATGTAAATTTTTAATGAAATAACAGCAACAAAAAAAATATATATATATGTGGCCAAGACATATGTTAATTATTATACTATATTTAAATAACAAGTGTAAAATACTGCAAGGCATAAGTAATGAGGCTGCTGCATTTGATGTATGTTCAAGCAATTGTTACTTACATATGTCTTACGTAACGTGCAATTAAATATCTACACTGGCTTCTCATTTTTTTGTTAACAATTACCGAGCATTATTCTCAAATATAGCCTTTCCACCGCAGACAGATGCGACTCTTACTTCACTTCCTCCTACTTTAATCTAATTTTACAATTATATATTTTTTTGGAACAAATATAATAGCACAAAATAATAAACTACAAATATTGCGAGAATGCACCTGCATAAAAGATTAACATTCTCTGGCTTCATTAATATTTGCAAATATGTTATATAACAGGTCGAAAAAATCTACTGTAACCTTTTTTTATATGATTTTTTTTATGTATACAATAAATTTCACATGACTGAATATAAAACAAAAGTAATATAATCATATATCACAGGGGTAGCCAAACTGTGGCTTGCGAGCCTCATGCGGCTCTTCAAGAGCCATTCTTCAAATATTATATATATCAAATATTATATATATATTTTATATAATAATTGAGATTTTTTAAATATTTTCAATGGTTCTTGCTGCGAAAAGTCTGGCCACCCCTGATATATGATAATCTTGTTTGATGTTGAGAACTTTATAGTAACTTTATAGTAATCTCTATAAAAAATATTTCTGTTATATTATAAATGAATAATGAAGCTTTTTTTCTATATTTTTTTAAAATTAAATCTAAAATTTTCTGTAATTTTTAATTGTATTATATAAAAATAAGATTAATTATAAAATATTTTGTTCAAATTTTTATTTAAACATATTTATTATTCGAAAAGTGATAATATTTTTAGTTCTTTGTAATGTACAAATGTTGCGAGGTCTTGAATCTTATAGGCACGCAGATCCATTTTTCGTTAACAAATACTTCTTGAAACATCTAATTGTTGTTATGCAAAGTTTTAAATTGAAGACTCAGTATAAGTACTTACTCATGGTTGAATTATTGTACACAATTAAACCAGGTTTCTCAATTTTTTTAATTATTATAATAACGCGTTGTTATTTTGTACAGCATTACACATTTACTATTGTGAAAATTAACAGAAGACACATAAGAAATAAATGGACCTGTCAACCTTATACAAGAAAAAGACGCAAAATTTAAATCCGTTTCTTTTATTTGTACACCATATATAAGATTTTACAAAAAAAAAAACTATGGATTACAAATTACTTACCCTTTTATATCTATAACAGTAAATTCAGTTGTATTTTTAAATAATTAAATAATTCATAAATTGACAAATTATATAATATTTTTTTATAAGTTTTTTTTTTCACAATCTGTTCCCTAGTGATATACTACTGTGATAAGGATGAATGATTTGTAGAAATTTTCCTAAAAAAAAGGAATAAGTAAAAAAAGTATCTAAATTGTATAATTATAGTCAATTTCTATACAATTTATGATTGAGGAAAATTATGTTTTTGGTTTTGATCTCAAAATGTACTTTAAAAATGACTCAATTTATTTCAAGATTGAGTTATTTTGTGTACATTTCCATAAAGTGCAATTATTATTTAGATTTACTAAATTATAAATATATGGCGGAGTATTTTATACGAAATGCGTTTCCTTCTTATTTTGTTTTCTTAATTCCACGTGTCTGTTCTACCGAGAAATTCGGACATCGAAAAAGATACTAAACAGAGGTACTGGCAAGCATCCAATTTCACTACTCACTTCTTCAAAGAGATCTCGCCAAATCGCGTTTGCCGACTCGAATTGAGGTTTTCCATTAAACATGTTGTGAATATTCATTTTTGTATATATATTCTTAATAAACAGGATAATAATAATATTTAGATCACAGCAAGAACTATATTTAAAATAAACCAAATACTCACATCGAATCATATTTTAATACTCAAAAACATTAAAATTCTGTAATAAGTTAATTAAAGTTATTATAGATTGAAGAAACATAGAATGTATTGATTTTATATAAAATAAGAATCTTATAAGAAGATTATACAACTAAATATACTAACAAATGTATAATTTTTATGTTCAAATTTAATGTTTCATATTTTTTTGCATGTTGTATTAATTATATTTATTATTTATTTCAACAGTAAGTATATTTTGTGGCATAATTGAGTGAACTACAGCTCTTTTATCAGAATTAGGGCTTATATAAATGTGTAAATTAAATACATAATATTTTAAAAACTTTGGTATTTTAATAAAAAAAAAATATATTTTGTCCAACTTTTTGACATTATTTTCTAAATTGATATGTAAACTGTTAGGTCTACTATTAGTTTAGTTCATGAGTCATTTTTAAGATATTTCCTATATAGAAAAAAGTTTAGAGAGCCGAAAATATATTCAAAGTTTCATTGAAATACTGAATAAGCTGTGATGAAAATCTGGAGATTTAATACTATTTTTCATTTTAATATAACAAACCTAATTCTTCAACTCACAATAAAGCAATTATAATAACAACATTAATCTTAGTAAATACAAACAAAAGTAATAAAAAAAATAAAGTAGTTTCATATTATTAAGAGTTTGACAGAGCATTTAACTAGGATTCCCACAGCGCGCGCCAAATCGATTTTGAGGGTGGACGAGACAAATTTAGGGGTTGGTATAAATAAGGTAAAAGATTGGCCGCCGGAAACAACCCTAGACCTTCACTAAACTGAATATTGATGCTATATTATCGAGTACGTTCCCACCGACAATCAATTCCATTTGATTCTATGAGAGGGACGCAACGAAAATGGAGAGAGACAGAGAAATGGAGAGGAAACAAAAAAAAATATTGAAACATGAAACGAAAACGCAAGGATTCTTGGAAAATGCACCGCGATGGATAATTCAGGCGCGGCACGACCAATTCATAATTCAAACCTTATTTTATTTTACACAATGATCGAAGCGGAGTTTCGACCGCCCAATCACTAACCATTACGTAATCATTACCTTATTTCTTTCGATTTTTTTTAATGTTCAACTTACAATGTAAAAAAAAAGAATATCGTGCATAATTCTAGGAAACGATATACTTTAATATTCCTTAGATAAAGGTGTGTACACACTACACGTAATTCAAATGCAGTTGATATCTGACAGATATTTATGGATCGTATTATGCATAATTCATCTTTCATATACAAAAATATTAAATAAAATTAAATTACGGAATACAATAGATTTATTCTATTTATTATCGACAAATTCTTCAATTTTTTTACTGAAGTTCTAAATTCATTTTTTTAATATTTTATTTATTCAATAATATTCGTTTACTAGAATATAAAATTAGATTTCATTAAAATTGAAAAAAAAATATGTATTTATTTTTTGTTAATTATGAAAATTGTTTTACTATAAATCTAATCGTGCGTATCCCGGCGAATGCACCATTATTAAACGCCGATATTCATTACATAACAATGTTGATGAATGTCGTGGATCCATGAATACATGCATGCTGTATGCTACAATCTTATTGCCATTATATTAACATTAATTTGGCGAAACGGCAATTCATTACGTAACGTCGTAAATCAGCCTGCGCCGTCGATAAATCGCATTATTATCTGGCGAGGCGAAAACAGTGAATGGAATATTGTGTTTAGGCCTCTGGAAGTTCCCATTTAGGGGGGCCACTATAAATTTATTAGGCGCATTCTTGATTTCGTGAATTATATATGTTGTTATGAAAGCGGCTCCAATATTTTTTTTTCCGAAAGCTCGTATAGATGTCCCCCTCCACAAAAAATAACTAAATAAAGAAATTTAGGGGCCGAATACGTAAGGCCCTTTCAATCAAACGCGCGTTTATCATTCCTGAACGACTGGGAATTGTTTACGTACAGTGTTGTTCTTATTTGTTTTCTTTACGTCGTAGTTTTTTTTTTTTTCGTATTATTAAAATTCTTTTCCGGCATTCCGACCGATTCGTACATTCCATTGAACTACAATCGTATATCTTACATTAGTGTTTTTTTGTTAAAAATCGTAATTTATTTTTAATTTCAAATATTTCGTAAATTTTTACTATAAAAAGTGTATTTTAAAACCGTTTTTTTCTTATTCAAAAATTACTACAAAATAGTTTAGTTAAAAACCGGTTTTGAACGGTTCATACTACAATGACTATACATAATTTGGTAAACAGGTGGTTAGTTTGAAAATTTTTACAAATTTATTATAAAAACGAACATTTCAAATCGGGGTTTCATATTTTAGAAATTTATGTAAAAAAAAGTGATTTTCGAAATCTACAAATTTATCCAACAAAAAATAAAAAATCGGCATTCATATTATCCAAATTTTTACAGAAAAATGTAAATTTAAAAACCGGTTTTTCATATTTTAAAAATTACTGCAAAATAGTATATTTAAAAACCGGTTATGGACGATTTATAACACAACGGTTAGTTTGAAACTAGGACAAAATTTATAACATCTATTAAAATGGAAGTCAATAGTTAATTGCAGAAATAATATTATAAAAAAACCGGTTTTTATATTTTAGAAATTCATTATATAAAGTTGTTTTTAAAAATATAAAACCTTGAAAATATTGGATTAGTTTGTTTCTTTTTCTTTTCATTAATTAATTTTTTGTATATTTTCAGCACGGCAATATCTATTACTTGGTAACTGAACTGGTGGGCGGTGGTGATCTTTGCAACTTCATCAAGGGACAGAGGAACGGAAAACTGGAGGAGCATTACACGAGGGTATTCGCCCGACAACTTATCTCCGCTATCTCGCACATGCACAACCAGGGGATAGTTCACAGGTAAGTGGAATTTGCGTAAGCGCGAAGAATCGATAACTCATCGATCCACTTTTTACACGCCAATGACGCCCATCGCGTAAATTGTCCGACTTTTATTCTTTTTATTTTGCCATCCCTTTACTGTATCGTAAATAAGGGCTCGTTCCGCAGCTTCTTCTATTGGAAACCGATCCAAATTGCGCAACGATATACACGTTCAATTCAATCGCAAAGGCTTATAGATATATTAAACAGGTTTTCAGTGCTCTCCTTAAACTGGTTTATGTCCTACTACCACGTTATAAATGCACTTTCCCAACTTTATATCTTCAAATGCGTATACTCATACACACACACACACACAAACACATTTCAGAAATTGCGAATATACGCGACTTACGATAACATTTAAATGCAATAAACAACTGTTTTTTATTGTTTTCATCCATTTCATTTTTATTGAGAAAAGTAAACCCTCGAACAACGAAATTACAATCCTTACGATAATAGGACGAGTCTGTAATTGCTTTGGCAATTACAGATAAATAATTGAATTTTTATGTTCGTTACTTTTCATATTGGAAAAGTTATTAAATTTCATTTTATATTCTCTATTTTATTTCTTTTTGTTTTATTTTTTTTTTCTCTAGTTGCTAACATGCACGGCATTAGCATTCGTCCAGCATTGGCGTGGTAATGTAATATGTAACAGTTGCTTAATAATTCAATAGGCAGTTAGCGGATCGATGCTATTTTTATTGCATTGATTTTATGTACAAATGTAATGCATGTGCCTATAACAATACTAATAAATTCCATATTCATATGGAAGCACGTAATCACACGTTATGGTTATATCTAAACGTGAATTCAAAACGAGTTTGATCCATACTCTCTCATTTCTCACTTTTTCTTTTATCTTTGCATTGAGATGTTTTTTTTTAATTTATTTTTTCTATTACTGTATGATTTACTGCTTTCAACGTACTTTTTAATTCAATCATTGAAATAAGTTAAAAAAATACTTATAAAACGATATATACTTATATATATATATACGAATGATGGGACGACTTTTCTTATGTGACCCAAACATGTTCTCGTATTACACGATTTCATATAATGTGTAACGTATTAACCGCGTTATACATACTCCATAGTCAATGTATCTAATTTATTCTTCGTACTTATCATTAAAATCATTAAAAATAATTAAACATTATATTTGTCTAATTTACATATAATAACTATAATTAACGAATAATGAATCGTAACACGAATTAATTACATTAAATCAGAAATTATTAACATTTAAAGTATACTTGTTCAATAATTATGCAATATTTCGTATTGTTCGGTTTCCATCAGTCCAGATTCGTCATAGAAAATTTCAGAAGAAATATGATAAATATTAGTATACAAAATTTTATATGCTGTTTTAAAGTGTAATTTCAAAAAGTCCGGAATATTGACAGACTATGCCGATATTATGAATTCAACACAAATTTTGTATTTTGCTAAATTCGTTTCATTCATATATAAATAATACATGTGCATGTTTTTCCTTGTTTCTATTATTTATTTATTTTTTCATTTACAATATTTCACGGTTAATTAAGTTATAATTAATATTGCCCAATTAGCATATAAATATCTTTATAATAATGCATTAATAAATATAGTACTTACTGGAAAATTTCAATTGTAATATAATTGTTGTTTTAATTACTTAATAAATTATATATAATTATCTGTACTAAAATTATAGGAATTAAATTGAAATATGTATAAAATTATAAATTGATTATGTAATAATTAAATGAATTTGTAATATTTTATATGTAATTTTAACGTTTTTATTGGGTTGGTCCGTAATTATAAGGCGTTTTTGTAGTAGCAGTTATTGAAGTAGATGGTGAATACGTTACGGATTAATCATTTAAATTGTTAAAAACGCCTAATAATTATGGACCAAACTGATATTTCACTTTACTCTGTTTCCAATCTTTCATTTGTCAGATCATGTTATTTTCATTTCTTCTGCACCATTGATCATATGTTTCTCTATGTATTCATAGACATTCATTGTATCATATGTTTCTGTGTTTGCTTAAGTTATTTTTGTCTAGTTTTTGTAAAAATCTAATACCTGAAGGCTGAAAAAGGCGAAACCCCATAGCAGTCTCCATACCATACCCTACCCTATACAACTGTAATTCTCATATAAAAATACAAGATATTTAAACTTGAAACTTGACTAAACTGAATTAACTCGGGTTCATGAAAGCATATGAAGCTGTATATTTTTCTCGCACCTAATTTAGGTACGAAAATGAATAACATTAGACAATTTTGTACCTGTTTCTTTTTCAACAAATTGACGAAAAAAACGATTTCTGATTTTTAATTGGTGCGTATTAACAATAAATATTTTGATTAAAAAAGTTGGAAATAGTAACATTTGTATTGTTTGAAATTATTCAATAATTGTGTTCGTTTCCGTGCAAAAGTATTATTATTTGAATGTAAGTTATGCATAAATTAAAGTCTATAAACATATATAACACATTGTAATTTACGACATATAATTGCAATTTGTATACACGAACGCTACATCGAGTTCACCAATAACTCATTTTTTTAATCACTTTTAATTTGTTGAACAAAGCTATTAAATGTATATTTAATCAAAATCTATGAACTTTACAAGAACAGTTATTTTCTTATCTTTATATGATGAAAATATTTATTAAGATTGTCTTGTCATTAAAGATACTAGAAGTAAACTTATAAAGTAAGTTTATATTATAAATACATAGTGAAACCTTGGGACCATCAATCCCGATGGGATTATCAGGATTTTGATACTGTTAAGATTATGGTTGTAGAGATTTTCATATTGTCGGGTTTATGGTTGACGGGATTTCGAATATCGGAATTTTGATTGTCAAGATTTTGGTTTACCAAATTATATTAACTAGGATAAATATGCTGAAAATCCATATTATAACAACTATTAAAGCTAATAGAGGAAAACATTATTTCAGATAATTCAATTTAGAAAATGCCTTGAGCCTAAGGTTATCCAGTCTACAAAACGGGAGCTTTGCATTGAGTTATCTGTATTTATCGTCCGAAGACACCGACAATACGATGAACCATAAAGCGTGAAAAAAGGTATAATCGAAGTGATTGGTTCAAACAATTCAATAAACTCATCGTATTGACATGCGTTTTATACTCCAATAAATATTAACGACGAAAGCATCAAATGTTCATTAGTAATTACTAAAAACAAACACATACACACACTCTGATTTTTAATGACGTTCGATATTTTTATTCCTTGATTATTATATTACAGTTTTCATTATCAGGCATTGTTAAATATTTGTTTTATAGCTGCACTAAACTTCTGCATATTTTTTTTATGCATAAACATTGCTTTGACAGTAAAAGTTTAACGACTAATTCAAACATATGGTGATGTTCTTCTGAATGACGCTGAATTAAAGATCATTTCCTCGACGATAATACGCTTTATCATCTCTCATATTCCAGAGTTGTTAAAGAGATCTAAATAAGACGTTTAGAATCTTTATTTCTTTTTATCCACATTCTAATTTCATATGTTTTTTATCAATTTTAATATATGTTAGAGATGTATAAATAAGACGTTTAGAATCTTTATTTTTTACTAATTTTTATATATTTATTTTTAAAGATGTTAAAGCGATGTAAGCAAGACTTAAGGAATTTTTATTTCTACTATTTCTTTATTCATATTTAAAGATGTTAACCTTTTAACAGATGTTAGTAAGACGTTTAGAATGTTTATTTTTACCTTTTTTGATACATTTATTTTCGAACCTGTTAAAAAGCTATAAGTAAAACATCTATAATCTTACTGTCTTATTATCCACTTATTTTCAAAGATGTTGAAGCTATGTATATAAGATACTTGGAATCTTTATTTTTTACTGATTTTATCCATTTATTTTCAAAGTTAAAACGATCCTACTTACGATAATTGAAATCTTTATTCATTATCATTTATTTTAGAAAATGTTAAAGTGATGTAAGTTAGACGCTTGAAATCTTAATTTTTATTGGTTTTTATCTAAAGATGTTGAAGCAATGTTTAGAATCTTTATTTTTACTGTGTTTTGATGATGTTACAAGGATAGAAATAAGACATTTATAATCTTTATTTTTTACTGTTCATTATCCATTTTCAAAGATATTGGAGCGATGATGGTAAGACTTTGAAATCTATATTCTTTTACTGATTTTTATCCATTTTGAAAGATGTTGGAGCGATGTGAGTAAGATGTTTATAATCTTTATTTTTACTGTTTTTTATCCATGTTTAAAGATGTTAGAGAGATGGTAGTAAGACGATTAGAATCATTATGTTCTGTTTTTTATACATTTATTTTCTATATTTATGATTGAATACTACACTAGACAGACCCTTTTGCAAAGCGTAATTAATTTTAATTACTTTACATTTAACCAATACTGTTTCATTGGACCTTATAAGAATTCCCGGTAATGCTATAACCATTTCGTGGCAAGGTGAGTTAATTATACACGACGACCTCTAATAATTCAATAATTAAGGAGATTGAATTCCGTAGGAATGCGCGTTTCCAAGTGATTAGTATATAATTAGGAAGCATTGCAATTCTATCAATGGGAGAATGCAAACAACAATTAGTTGGCACAGAGCCAACGCTATCTAATAATTTTAAATAGTTCGGAGCAGCCGTATAAAGTGGGTTCCATGTAATAAATGTATAGCTTATATAATGCATTCCGATAGTAGAGGAGAAGCAACGGCGGCGGCAACTGCAGCTATTCAAATGACAGAATCAGGCATATTTTATTTTTCCATTAGGGAAAAGAAATTATGACAAGTAACAGCGTTATGCAAATGAACTGGTTGGGTATAGCTAACCTAAATTTTCGTAGTAAACATGGTCATTTGTACGCGAATCCCGGCGTCGTATCTGAAGGTA